CTCTGTTGATATTTTGTAAATACTAATGACAAAATTCAGGTCCTGTTGTTAGTCACAGGGGTGCAAATTATGAACTAACTTAAATTTATAAGGCTTCTTAAATTTCTTGAACCGTAGATTTTGGAGCGCCAACATTACCCTCAATTTTTCTACAAGAATTTCTAGGAGTAACTGTCACTAAAACATTAATTTCACTAATCTCCCGGCAAGATTTACTACACGTTTTTGATCGATCTTTGAGAAAAGATCTAAAATTAGGTTGGTTTTAAACCTATCAAATAATACATAATAGATTTCTAAAAGTTATATAAAACATACTTTATTATCCATGTTACCTGTGCAACTACAGTTCAGATGCTTTATCCGTATTTTCACGACACAGTCTTCGTTGACAGCCATAATTTTAGAACAATTTAATTACCAAATTAAATGCCTTAATAAAATTGTCAGTACTTTTTGTAACATTGATAATTTGACAGACAAAACGTATTTTTGTTTCGGTCAGACCCAATTTAAATAATAATTAAGAAATAATAAATTAAAAGAAAAGTTGCACTTTAATAACTAAAATTTAAAACAAATATATTCATAAAGCTCTTAGCGGATGCAACACAATGCCGTAAAATTATACAAGGTGTTCCATTTAAAAATGTTGTAATTCAAAAAATATTAAAAAAAGAAACTGAAAAAACTAAAAACTTAAAAGATTATTTATTTTTTAATTTATTTAGACATGAAAAGAAAACAATTTCTCATCTTAGTTACAATCCAATCTCCATCTCTATCTTAAAGAAAAATAGATTCTGGGGATTTTTGATATCTTTTGGCAGTTTCGGAGATATTTTTTGCGATTAGAAGACAGTACTTTGACACTTTTTAAACTTTCGCTAATTTGACTTTTAATCCTTAAACCTAATCAGAAAAGTTGTCTTGTAAAAATTTGTTAAAATATTATACTATGCAACAAATTTAGCACAATCGAAACGTAGTGGAATGTTTTAATAGACGTTTATATGTGCTTTTTACAAAACTTTTGGATTCGTCCTGCGTCGGTTTTTGCTTAATCGAAATTGCTGACGTTGCGCCAATCATCCTGTTGGCTTCTTCAGAGCTAGACTGTGCTGACTCTCAGTTTTTCAGTGAAATTCCTGTATAATATAATATCAGTGTAGGCAATTCCTCTATATATCTAGTGGCTATATGGATTACTTTGAGTGGACTTTTCAAGTATTTCGATCTCGTTCAGTTTCGGTTGGTTGCACTTTACTGTCTCCAAAAACATGTTATAAATCAATTGATATGCCAATAACTTATAGAGATTTATATTATTTCCGTTAGATCATTCTGTACAATCACGTTTTAAAATGAATTTTTATACAGCGTTGTTAAATAATAATCATCAATTTATGATGACAATTTATGCAGTTCCGTAGAACAATGTATGATATTGATATAAATTTAATCTAATAAACATGAAATAAAATTTGTTTTGTTCTTATAGCTTGCTTCAGTCTCAGTAAAATATTTTTTTTCTTCTCCCTACCCTAAAACCGAATAATTATGCATGGATCAAGCTTGCGGAAAGTGTCACTTTAAGACTTCAGCTTCGTGATTCATAGTGACCAGCCACCTCTGTCATTCCAGGTATGTTCGTCACGAGTTTGGGAACGGTTGGATGTTTTCGGTAGATTTTAACTATGCGATTTTGACGTTTTTCGATTCTGAAGGTCACGTCACGCCACTCAATGAATGTACTGGTGCAGTTTTGCCAAAATGTACTCAAAAACTAACGGTCATAGAAAAAGTATAGTATGCAAAATGTTGATGTTGATATTTATCTTTTTTTTGCATAATATACTATAATTTATTATTATAATAATAATTATAATCGTTATAAAAAAATCGTTAATTGCACCTGATAAAACTATTGGAAAAAGTGAACTTTAAGAATTTTAATAAATTGAATAAATGAGTGAAGACTTAGTTAATTAAATTTATTAATTTTCGTTCCATTCATTTAATAATTTGTTTTACAACCCACTAGCACGAATAAAATCAAGCTCAAACAAAAATGAAGTCTTGCAGTATCACAAAGTTCGCCAATCTGATAAACGATCCTTTGCGCATGCTGTGTAAAAGGGTCTCAGCCATGATATGGGGGTTGGGACCAAAACCTAAATTAAGGGTGCCGGCAGAATTGTGCCGGCGAATGAAATGTAGGTATCGTTGGTGTAGTGAAAATTTTTTTGTGTTGTTTTTCGGTAACATCTATTTTAGTTCGATGGTAAGTTCTATAGGGTACTTATAGGTAGTTGTGAAGAGTACTCGACAAGTATTAAGTTTAAGCAATATCGGCGTGTGGGAATGAGTAAGATTATTCTTAATATCTCACAAAATGAATAGTATGATTAATAGTATATGAATAGTACTATAATAGTAAATTATAAAATATTTAGTCACACAAATGTTTTTAGAGATATTTACTCAGTTTTTCTAGATCCAGAAAACATTAAAATATAAAACTTAAGAAAAAGTCATTCTTTTTCTGGATATTATACACACCTATAACAAAAGCGCAAATTTTGTTAATATATTACTTAAGGCGTTAATATAGCATACAAGACTTTTCGTAAACGTAATCTTACCACAAGTAAGTTTTATAACCTTTCTATCTAATTTATGTGGCAAATTCTACTTGATAACTTATAAACATAAATGTTTATTTTACAAAACCAAAAATTGTACCAGTAACAGCGAAAGAAAACGACTAGACCAAATTAAGATTTGCGAATTTCGAACGAATAATATCTACACGCCCTTTTTGACCCAAGTATTTCCGTCACCCACACTGACAGTGACCGTGAATTTCGGAGTGAGCTCTATTGATTTTCGGATACAGCCGTGTATATTGTGAAGTCTCACGCATTTTCGGTGCTCAGTTTGGGAGAACCTGTGGTTTATCTTGGAATTGCCACGTTGCCAAAGCTGCCATTTATTTCGCACGTTTTCAGTTAATTGATGTATTTTAATGTAGCACAAATGTAACATCGCGGGGTAAGAGAAAAATATTTAAAAATTGGCAATTGTCTGTTTCTTTGAAGAACACTTGTAACGTTACAATTTTCTTTTAATTCATGAAAAAATTGCGATTGGTGTTTTTATGGTAGATACGATGCAATTTTTCCTGCAAAATGGGCTTGGTTATTTTGGTGGAATTTCGTTTTTTAAATTTTAATACAATAAGCAATACTTTTTAGCTTTTGTTGAATGTTTTTACCACGCATATAATAACTTGGATATGTGTAACTTATGTATGTGTGTATATATGGAAAATCCATAATATAGAAACGAGAGAAATGAGGATGTTTGTTTGAAGCGCTGAATAAAAACCAATATATCTAATATATTTAATTTATGTGTGCCCTAGAACTGATTTCTGTGCAATTCTCTTACATTTAGAGCTAATTTAGGTTACAAATTGAAATGCAGTTCTTTTGAACAAATTGTTTATTGGCATTTTTTACAATTACATATTTGAAAGGCTAAACTTTCATTTGCAATGCTAGACTTGCGATGAAGGAATAAGCATACATGAGGTTCTGCAGTTGTTTCTTGAGCATTTTTTCCATTTAGATTTTTCCAGTGCGACATCTGATATCTCATAAAGAGTCACTAAGAGTCATCTTTCGTGATTTCGATTTTATTTACATTTTACATATTTTATAGAGGTTAAACCTATAATTTTATTAAAACAAACTTTGCGCCGATTGACACGCATAAATTCGAAAAAAACAGATAGTGATTTTATCTGCCAAATTTCTTGCAGTTTGGTGTAATATTTACGTGAAACGTGGAGATTTTTCTTTATATTAGTGTCCCAATACAAAAAACAGATGCTGTGCGAAGTCTAATTGCGCCGCTTTCTTAATTAAATACGTTGCAAAAGTAGTTTGTAGTTTAAAAAAAAGTTAATATAACAGTTTATTAACAAATTTACAGTTTTTAGCTAGTTTACGTAAGTGAAGGCAAAAGCTGGAACAGAACGAAATAACGAGATCCAAAAGAGATATAGAATGTTGTCGCTCAAAACCGATGACTTCACTGTTTTCTGTTCTCATACGGCGATACTTCACGTCTTGACCGAACGCCGCTCTGCGTCTTTCATCTAATTTCTAGTCTAGACCACTTTCCGCACTAGTGATGCTCATAATGTCATAATAATACAAAATAACAATAACAATTTTAAAAAATCTTAAGATGTTATGAGCACTCATACTCGGTTTTGTTGTTTGCGTCATCATCAATTATAATTATAAATTAAATACTCAGAGTTTTTGTAAAATGAATAAAAGAGCTAGATGAAAAGTTGACATCTGAACTTCTAAGATTTTGTTTACGTGCAACCATTTCGTCAGTGTTTTGTTTATGTTTGGCTTGCATTGGTTTTTCTCGTTAGTTTCGAGAGCGTTGTTTACGCCATATGGACATCTTGAATGCTAGAGGACGCGAAAATACCTTTTCTGCATATATTTATCGTTCGGTGTTGTAATTTGAAAAGGATAATGATTCCATATATTCCATAATAAATGTTTTCAATCAATTAATCATTAATTTTATTATTTACGGTAGTTGCTTTTATAAAAAAAACTGCAGCACAGTCAAAAAACCTATGCATTCAAAATAACAAAAATCAAATTCAGTCGATTTTTGATATATTTTTTGAATGTGATTAAACTTTCTTGTCTTGATTTACTTTCTACTTTTTAAATTTGCAAAAAACTACGGTCTAATTTATTGCCCTATACATTAAAAATCTTGAATTCCAAAAGAACTGTGCAAAAATGTAAGAAAAGCAAATATATTTTTTGGCTTTGATACTGAATTCAAATAATGTAACAGAAAATTTAAACAAAGACTATATTAAAAACACTATTAATTTATTTTGTTTTGTGTATTATTAAACGTGGTTAGAATTAAAAATGTCGCATTTATCTTTTTAGGTCTTTGGTTCTAAACACGCTCTTCCAGACTACTGTTTATCAACTACATAACCCCTGCCTGCTTTATTTAAAAATGTCTTCCAGAGAAAAATCCATTAGCATCAGTACAACACTCAGTATACCGTCCACATCAACTCAAGGCAGTAACTCCACGCCGATTCAGTCACCCATTGACAATTTTATATTCGATATGGTGGCCGTAAGTATTGACTTTTTCACAAGATACTTAAATGGTTGAAGTATGATTCTTTTTTTAGTATGCTTTAATGTGTGCGATATTTCAAGTCAATTAAATATCTAAGAAAAAAGGTTTTGATGATATTTTTAGTATTATTTAACATTTTTTCTTTATTTAGTACTTCCACATATTTTAAGCCTCCAAGTGTATTTTTTGGTGCTAAATATATCCGCAAGGAGTTTAGTTTGAATATTTTTGAAATGAAAAAATTACGTTAGTTTTCTTCAGTAATAAACATTATTAATTACCAATTTCGAATAAATTTTCTCTTGCCATTTATTGCAGAATACATGAAAAAAATAAAAAACTGTTTTGTTAATAAGATTTTTTTTCTTAAAAGTACTTGAAATATCGGTTTCTAAAATATCGGACATATATTCAAAAATACCCGGTATAACTATGAATTCACAGTAATTGAAATGACGTAGAACATGAAGTTGTTTCGAAATGTCACTTCTCACGTCTTTATTCCATTTGATAGGCTGTCGCCCCGGATTTCTCGATATGCAGCAACTGTGAACTCAATAATCCATCTTACTCGAAATGCATCGACTGCAACGAAAACTTGTGCGACACTTGCGTTGGAGCACATCAGATGGTACGCGTGACGAAAGACCACAAAATCACGGGCCGACGCAGTTTAAATGGGTCTTCCTCTCAATCGAGTACCATTTCTGGTCATTCTGAATATTCTCAGGTAGACACAAATTTACTACTAATTGAACAAGTTTGAACTGAAGGTGAAATACCATAAAATATATGATTTTAAAATTATACCGCAGTGTACAATTTTAAAACTAACTAGCAGAATATAAAGAAGGTGGTTCTCGAACCAAAAATTAGATGTCAGTATTTTAACCACGTATTCTAAGTCTTAAAATAGAGATCATGTTATGCAACAAGTCTGATTAATGCCGCTTTAATCACAAGTTTGCTTCGGCACGAGCGGAGCCTGTAATAAAGGAGCGACTAAAGTTAATCATCGTATCTTTTGGAACGCTAGATCTGTGCGTAATTGGATATTTTAGGCAGAGACTAGAAAAAAGCACTTATAAAGCGCGAACCACGACTTCTGCGTTTTTAATTTACAGGATGTAAGACATATTTTCGAAACCTGTTAAGATAATTAAGTAAAATTTGGTAAAGTTCTTGGTACAGTTTCTAAACTTTTTACGTCCCATTGAACTGCGTGGATAATATCCCGGAAATATCCCAAACGGTTCACAGCCGTAGGTAATGAAACTGACGTTCTAAAATCACACTTTCCGCACGACAGTTTCGTTACCTACGGCCTCGAGGAACTTCGGACATTTCCGGAATATTACCACGCGAGTTTGGGAGCAATCGAATGATTTCGCATATATTACCCGCGGCTTGAATTTTGACGTTCGGTCATGTCAGTGGATGTATTCGTATTGATTTGCAAAAATATAATCAAAACCTAATGGTCGGAGAAAAAGTGTAGTATGCAACAGGTTTGATACCTAAACTTTTTAAGTCACTCGTGCCGTTTACCAAACTTGTTACATAATGCATATATGTATTATGAAATTGTTTTTTAGTACAATGTTTAAATCAAAGTACACTAACTAACTAACACTAAATTTTCACCAACTAAGAAATTTAGCCTATTTACCCACAGGGGCTAATTTAATTTATATCTTTTAAGTAGGGTTCTGAATATATGAAAAAAAATATTGACATCTAATTTCGAGACATCTTCTAGTAGTTGTTTATCTAAGAGCTAATTGAAAATAATTTAAAACATCGAACTAGTAAAGTTTCAGTAAACTGGAGGGAAAAATGCTTTATAGTTGAAATAAAATATTAATACGATTCCAGGGAAGTAGCGTGCATCCGGTCAACGATATAGTCTCTCAGCTACTGGCTCCAAGCACTTCCACCTTGAGCACTTCACCACTCTCATCTCATCATACAAGTTGCGATAAACACAATAACCCATTTCGTTTCTATTGTCGCCTCTGCGTTTCACCTTTGTGCAATACGTGCTATTTTGAACATCAAACTCATTCCGTTACATACATTAACGACGGTTTGGAAGCAGCGCTGGATACATCTAGTAAATTAATTACCGACACTCAGGCTATGTGTATCACTCTAAGGCAAGCACTGAGCTGCGTGCAACATATGTACGAAAGGGTGGAATTTAGAGCAATTGCAACTACGAGGGAAGTCCGAAATGTGATAAAAAAGTAAGTTTGGAAATTGCAAATTGCTATATAGGTAATGATAATGCACAGGACCATTTTCCGGAGACGCGTACGTAATATTTATTTCGTTTACAAAGTGTCAAAAAAGTTATTGAAAATCTGGAATACAAAACAGCCACAACGCAAAAATTTCAAATAGGATCTGTCACTTTTTTGAAGGTCACAGCCGAAAACCTTTGCAGTAGTCAAATTTTGGGTGATTCTTTTATTGTTGATGAATCGAACTTGCTGACGTTTCCAATCATCCTGTTGATTTCTTAATTGAAACTGGTTTGCATTCTACTCCGTACCTTCTTTTGCAGGGTTTTTCAAAACAAAAAATGCGAAAAACTTAAGGGGGTGATTCCTTGTTTAAAATAAAGGATAGTTTGTTATGTAAACGTTGGATCAAAAGCCAATCTATCGGAAAATATGGCACTACAAATATTCCGAAAAATTATGTTTATTAAAAACGAAAACAGACTAATAATATATAAGGTATTACTATTATAAAAACACGCTTTCTGTACAATTTTTAATGTTTTTAAAATGAGTGTGGGGGATTGAATTAGACTACATCTATCATTCCTCTTATGTAAATTTAAGGAAAAACTTATGCAATGACACAAACAAATAGTATATTATGCAACAAGTGTGATATAAATGGCATTTAAAAAGTTTACCAAACGTGTTGCATACTATACTTTTTCAACGATCGTTAGTTTTTCGGTACATTTTTGCAAAACAGCACCAACATACTGAAATATCCATTAGGATTGACAAATTCAAAGTTCATGACATGAGGTAATATCTCCGAAAACGTCCAATTGCTCTCAAACCCGCGCGGTAATATCCCAGAAATTTCCAAAGTGGTTCGGAACCGTGGAAAACGAAACTGATGCGGTAAAATGGCACTTTCCGCACGCTAGATTGGTGTATAATTAAGTATTTTACAGAAGGGAGTAGAAAAATATTTTTATTTTGTTCTATTTAGAAAATTTTGTCTCCTGCCATTTTTTCATAATACTTACTGTTTCGAAATAAAAAAATTAAATCTAAATTAAATGTATAACGAGATAAAAAAATAGATTAAAAAAAACTAGTGAGCTACTGTCACTTCTCAAGACGTTTCATATTATTGCTTTATTTCGCATTACTCAGTTACTTTGAATACAAAATATGTCGAACATAATCAAAAATTTATTTATTATCTGTTACTATTATTATTTCTTATCTATTAGAACTATCTGACAGAACCCAACCAAATAATTGCAATGCTTGCTTGACATTTGTTTTTATTTTTCTAATAAACCCGTCTATCGAAATGTATTTGTTTCCATGTCATTGCGTAAGTTTTTCTTCAATTTTAGTGGATACGGGTAGTTTAATTCAATCCCGCCCACTCATTTAAAAATATTTGCAAAAAGTGTTTTTTTTTTATTAGTAATACTTCCGTAATATTTATTGTTCTATCTGTTTTCGTTTTTAAGATAAAATAATTACAACAATATTTTTCCGCCAAATTTGCACGGCGATATTTCCTTAATGGTTGACTTTTTATCCAACATTTATATGACAAACTTCCCTTTATTTCAAACGAGGAATCACCGCCGCGCAGCGCGCTAATTTACGCGCACTTCAAGATTGTAACGAGTTTTCGTCAACAAAATATTCCTGGCACTATTTTCTTTAGAATCAAAACATATCCGGAACATAAAGTATAAGTACCACATACATACCAATACGCATTGAGGCCCTGTCTATGCCAACAAGACAGGAACTTATGAAGGAACTATGGAAACAATTTTGAGAAGGTTCATTGGACATGCCCATGAGCAAGATTTAAAATCCAGTTTTTTACGTTAAGTGAAAGTGCGAAATTTTTAAGGCAGTATTTTCTCAAAATCTGCCTAAATCTCGTTAAATGTTTTATCGCAGGCCACTATATTATTTAATAGCTATATGGTTTGAACCAAGCGCGAAAATGATGTGACTTCTATTTACTTGGCATATTGCAATTTCCAGATACATTGCTGCCTTCGAAGCGCGAGAAATAGAACTATTGAAATTGATCGACCAGGGTCGAGCCGTCAAACTAAAAATTCTAGGTAATCAAATGGAAAACATCCGTACAGTTTACACTAGGTAAATTTGTTTCTATTTTGTTTATTTTACATAGTTTATTGTATTAATAGATTTTTTTTCTACTCCCCTCTATAAAATATCTAATTATACACCGATCCAACGTGCGGAAAGACTCATTTTACCACGTTAGTTTCGTTTTCTACGGATCGGAGCCACTTCGGACATTTTCGGGATATTATAGCACGGGTTTCGGAGCAATCGGATGTTTTCGGAGATATTACCGGTCGACTTGAACGTTGCAATTCTGACGGCCATGTCAGAGAATATATTCGTGTTGTCTGCAAAAATGTACCCAAAAACTAAGTAGAAAAAGTATGGTATGCAACTGGTGAACTTTTTAAGGCACTCATTTATTAAGCACTCGGTTCGCTCATGTCAAATAAACTCGCGACTCAAATACCGTTTACCACACTTGTTGCATAATATACTATAAACTAATAGTAAAAAAAATCTATTAAAAAATAGGATTTGGCAAAGATTTTCCGATTTTATGTTTAGATTTTTATAGATTGACAAGGGCTACCGAGTTCCTAAACGAATGTTCAAAATCTCCGACAAGTTACGATCTTATGGTAGCTAATCAGCAAGTTAACAAAGAACTAAAGCAAGCATATACATTGGGATCTTCGTTAATGCCATGTGAGGATGACGGCTTCTTATTTATCCCGCCAAATGAATCAATTTTTGACGCTATCGGTTCTATTGGAAAGTTAATGATTACATCGTCAACAAGCAATCTCAGCTCTGGAACTGGACCACAGCAACAGCAATTGGGTTCTTCACCCACAAGTAAACCTGCTAAAATTATATTTGTTTATTTTAAAGTTGATAAGCGCAACATTTTTTTTGCCAAGGAAGTTAGCTGCAGTGTATTTTTATTTGTGTATACATCCCTAAAAGTAAATCTGGTTTTCCTTTTTTGTTTGGATACTGAAATAATTATTTTTAATTGATTTTCACATCAGAAAACGCCTCAGTTATTTACTATACTATCGGGATTTTTTGCAAGCAATTTTTCGCTTCCTTGTGAACATCTGGTTAAAAATATTTTTTTTGGATGTCTTATTGTAATATGTGTATATAGCGCTAGTCAGTCATCATTAAGAAAAAAAATGTAGTGATTGTAGTGATGCTGATGCGATTCCGATTACAGATAATATCACCGGCGTTCTTACAAAAGCAAAATTTCGACCAATCTATGGAGTCACCAATATCGTTATTGTAAAGGATGTAGGCCCCAACCCTTCTATCGTTTTTGGTGGTGAAGGTGAAAAGGACGGCGACTTGTGTCGTCCATGGGGTATAGCTCAAAACCGTTTTGGAGAATATATTGTTGCAGACAGAAGTAATAACAGAATTCAGGTGAGTGGATATTGAATTAATTTCTATCAATCGATTGTATTTGTAATCTGTAAGAACGAAAATGGCTAAAATCGATTTAAGAGCATTTTTAGGATTTTCTTAATGGTTTTGAATATGGAATTTTAAATTTGGTTTGGCTTCATTCTTGTCATTTTTGTTATCGCTATCCTCATAAATTACTGTTGCTTCTGTAACACCATACTGCTACTACGTAAACTCGTCGACAGTTTAACTTTAAGTTTTTTTTAATTTTTTTTCGTCGAGGACTTGGTGGTATAGATTAGACGATATTAATTTCGATAGCCGATAGAACAATACCAATAAAGATAACAACAAATAAGAAATTAACAACAATAATAATATAATAACAATAATTACTTTAAGCATCAAAGGGTAATTTTTGGTACCTTATTTTTTTTATTTTACCGGTGGCATACGACTGATAAAGATACGGAAATTTATATATATTTAATTCGAAAAATCTTAGTAATAAACAATATTTTCAAATAATGTTTTTCATACCAAACGACATAAGATCTTAGCAATTTAGTCGTATATAAAAAGTTTTTTGACTACGAAAACAATACAAAAAACAAAGCAATAAAATTAATCTTCTCCAAATGGAAATGGAATTTCAAAAAAATATATTTTTTCGACGAATTAATGACGTATCGCTTCTCTTTCAAAAATGTTCAGTCGCATATCACTATATCACTGGGCAAGATCCCGGTGTTAGGGCCAACATCTGGCATCCCTTCTCGAATTCCACAACCAATTTGTTCTTTTCATAAAATTTTTACTCAATTCATACAGCGGCGTAGCCTCGTTATAAAATTGTTGACTAAAATAATGACTCATTATGAAGCTAATCGAGACGATACGCTGTTTATGCTTTGAATTACAATATCGATTATAAATGTTTGCAGAAGTTTTATAACAAATTTTGACTTCCCAACCAACAGCAAATAATTTTTAGGTATTCGATAAAACCGGAAAGTTTCTATTTAAATTCGGTCAACAAGGTACAGCACCTGCTCAATTCGATAGACCAGCAGGTGTAGCGGTGAATCCTCAGGATGAAATCGTTGTGGCTGATAAAGATAATCACCGAATACAAGTTTTTATGAAAGATGGTACACATCTATTCTCATTCGGTGAAAAAGGTAATATTAAAAAGTGCATAACATTCGCGCGGGATGCATATGCATACGTGGTGTAATATTTTTATTTTAATCCAGGTACGCAGATAGGCCAGTTTCAATATCCATGGGACGTGGCGTGTGATTCAGTAGGAAACATTTTAGTATCAGACACTCGCAATCACCGCATACAACTTTTTACATGGAACGGTATATTTGTGGCCAAGTACGGATTTGAAGGTCCATCAAATATGTGGAAACACTTTGATTCACCAAGGGGAGTTTGTTTCCATCCCTGTGGTGATATAGTAGTTACTGACTTCAATAACCATAGACTCGTGATAATCAATCCCTCCCTAAATAGAGCCAGGTATATATTTTTATCCATTTGATGTTTTACACTGATCATCTGTAGATTTGTAAATATCTATAAGCAAAAAATTGGTAACCATAATTTTCAGATATATTGGAGTAGAGGGTAGTGAGTATGGACAATTTATTCGTCCTCAGGGAGTTATTTGCGACGACAAGGGCAACATTGCGGTTGCAGATTCGAGAAACAATCGTATTCAAGTAAGTGACACACCTATTATAAGCTTTAGAAGTCTGCGTTCTACATCAAATTTCTAAGGACCTATATTAATAAAAATTTGTTTGTTCAATTTCAATTGTTACCAAGTTTAACAAAGGAGATCATTCATTTTCAACAGATGTTGTCTCCAATAATGCGATCTTACAAACCAAATATTGTATCTGAAAAAGATGCAATTCCTAAAATAATTACAGATAGAGAAACGGTTAAATGTGGAAAATTTGAAACAAATTTTTCGACAAATCTTTAAAACTGAAATGAGCAATTATTTCTATACAGGGTGTTCCATTAGTAATGGTACATGGAAAAATAGGAAATTCCTTAGATAAAAATATAAAGATTTGACGGAAAAAATTGATACTAACGTAGATATAACGTGTCAAAGTTGCAATTTCATTTTTTATTTTACTACATAATTCCTGAAATAATCGAGCTTTTTACACAAAATTTGCCAAATCGGGTTTGTTTGATATAAATGAGATATCCATTTTCGTGAATAATTTTAGGGCAAATTGTATAGGGCGCTACGTATGGCACTTCTGGTGCTTTTGACACTTTCTAACTTTTTTTGCACCTTAGTGTATGCAGATTATTAATAAAGATATTACTTCTTAGGCCTTTTAACAGAAAATAAGTATAGCTTTTAATTTGCGCCCCGACTCGTCCTTTTCGAAAAATTCGCATTTGAAATCCTATTTTTTTTTTTGTGTTTGGAGGTATATGAAGCCGCTAGTATATGAAGAAGTAGTTCATACTCGAAAATGCGGATGAATCAAAACGAGGAATTATTATTTAATAACAGGCAGTCTTCGAATAAAAATTTGTATTTTCATAAAACTGTTTTCATTGACGCCGCAATCTTTTTGAGTGTCGTGTTGTCAAAATCTCAAAATAAATATTAAAAACGCGATTAAGATCTGTACTACCATATTAGCCCAGTTATCTGCAGTATCTAGGTTATTTTAAAATTGATGGCATAAAAAAATAAAACTTTAAATATTACGTAATGATGTACTAAAAACTTCAAACCCAAATTTCTCGAAAACGGCGAATAGGGACGAAATTAAAAAGGTATACATTTTTGTGTAATAAAGGTGTAAAAATCTGCATGCAATCGCAAAAAAGTTAGGAAGTATAAAATTCACAAAAAGTACCGTTACGTAGCGCCCTCTACAATTTTCCCCAAAATTATTCACAGAAATGGATTTCTCATATCAAAAAACTCCGATTTGCCAAATTTTGTTCAAACGCTCGATTATTTCAGGAATTATTTTTAAAAAATCGGAGATGAAATTACAACTTTGACACCCTGTACTTTGATTAATATCAACTTTTGGACTAAGGTAATTTTCGTTAAATCGCAATATTTTTTCCTAAAGAATCTTCTATTTAGTCATGTACCATTACTTGTGGGACACCCTGTATGTGAATATTATGAATAATCGAAAAAAGGTAAAAATTGTACATAGACCAAAGGGTAATGAAAACTTTTGGAATGTAATAACCCTAGTTAAGCTCAATTTTAAAAATTTCTCCTGCAGTTAGAAATAACTTTACACATTTTGTCATTATAATTTACAAGTCTGACACACAAACTTTACCTTGATACAGCAGCATAACTATCCTACGATCTAATCAAAAGGAAAAACAAAGTGTGGGTCAATTGACCAAATTTAGAAGGTCAAATGTTAAACACAGAATTGATATTATATTCGTAAACATTTTGGTAGTAATTTTTTTTCTTTTTAAAGGTATTTAGTGAAAATGGCGAATTCTTGTGGGCTGTGGGGCAATTGGGTAAAGATCAAGGAGATATGGATCGGCCAAGTGGCATATGTCTCACTCCGGAAGGACGCATATCTGTGGTGGATTTTGGTAACAGTCGCGTCCAAACATTTTGATCACAATGGTGCGCATTTAATAAAGTGATCATTATTAATGGTTCATTCATATTTCTTTAATAATTAAATCATCTGCAATTATTTGAATTATCAAACTTCTTTTTAAGACATTTGATGTAAAATATACGCTTATTTTTAGAAATTTTATAGGGAATAACTTTTGCATAAGACTGAGAAAGAAGTCTGAAAACAAATTAAAAAATAAATATGTTCCTAGGAAAAATATTTTTCTTGTGTAACTCGTGCAAGTTTATATGAAAGACATTTGATGTCGGTTTTTATACTTTTAAGTGGTTTAGACAATGCTGAGGACTGCTATATTTGTTGTTTTTTGTAATTATCAGCTTAGAGTGGTATGCAATGCGAAATATATTATTGTTGGCCGTGCCCAGGTGATACCTGTGTATAGTTTATGAGATTTGTATATTAATGGAATTGAATATCTTCCTCATATTCAAACTGTCCCACAAGTAATTCAACATCCTCTTAACCAGAAGTACAAATACTGTTTACTATGCTTATCTGTGTACCATGCAATTGCATTGTCAGAATACAAATTTTGCAAGCCTTGGATAGTTGAAATCTCAGGAATATTTTTGAAAAGACTGAAAAATCAACATAAGGAATATTGCAACTCTTAACATTTTTATCTTAGTAAAACATTAAGAATTGCTGTCAAACATTAACTAAGAATAACAATATTCCATTATTGTAGATAACCTTGCGCCTAATTGATTGGGAAAAGTGAAAACAGTTTTCTAAAGGTTCATTTTTGTTCAACCCTTTTATTATCCCACCACTACAAATATAATACACATATTTTTTGTTTCCTTGTTGTTAAAAATGACATGATGTGATTTTGAATAAAACAATTATTTGTATGTAAGTTTGGGAAAATATAATGTACCTATCTGATAATTTAAGTTTTTTTTTCAAGCTAATGCTTACCATGGTGGCAATTAAATTATGTTTTAACCTGAACATTTTATTATTACAGACTGCTTTTTTTATACAACTCGTAAGAGTACTAATTTTTCATCATTTTCAATAAAATAACATAAATCGCTATTTTGATAAACACTGTGCAGGATTAGCGGTCGCTAATTGTGTCAAACTTAACAGGCAACGTGTTTTTGATTATTTTATAAATGATATTTTGTGAAATTTGTGATTGTTTACTCTGATGTTGGCAATACAACAGTTTTGCTATTTAATATATTGGTATTTTCTTTGACCACCACATCCAAATTCTATTGCACTTTTAACTTTCTTTGCCTGAAAGGTTAGCTATTGTCATGTGTTCAAATAACAACCTTTATAACAACTAGTCTTTATAACCGAAATTTCTGCCATAAAACTTTTTAGATAATGAAGGTTTGAAATCCACGTTCAAAACGACACAGTTTTGTAACAGATATTTACTTGATGATTTTATACATATCCTAGTTTTAAAATAAACTCCTCAATTATTGTTATGGAAAAGAGGCGCATCTATACCAAATTATCAGCACCAGAAAGCCATCTATGTTTTAAATGCCCATACTTGAAGGGAGCAAGCACCTAGGATTGTACAATTCAGTGTACAGATTGTTTCTAACTTAATGCAAAATATTTTAGTAAAATGTAAGTCCTATTGTTCATATAACTTGAAAGCCCTTTAAAGTTGGTTAAAAAAACTGTGCAAATGTCGTTTAAGTACCCGGGAAGTAAAAATATAAAAAGTCGTTATATATATAGTTCCATTGCAGGGTTAGTTTTCGTTATCTGCCAGATAGCATAACACAAAAATCATTGTCCATTTCTATTTTGATCTCAAGTCATAATTCCAACCAATGTTTGTTCCCTACACCCCAGCGTAACCGCCTCCTGTTAAAATCAAGTTTTTTTTTGCATTTATGTTTTGATGAATTTCAAAATCTACATTCAATATTGTTGCAGCTTGATGTCTGAGCTTAAATTAACTGATTTGGTTAAAACAAAGTACATAACCCTTGGTTGTTAGCACTCCTCGGCACTTGATGTGAATTGTAAAACGAACAGCCCACTCCAAGTCCATTGCCCTGTTAAAAATTTCCTGGATTGTAGATCTAGACAGGATCTCTAAAATATATAAAAATATAAATTTAAATAATTAACAATAAGCAGCAGCTCGAAAATCCCAAACGTTTAAGTTAAAAGCAGAATTTACTTACACTAAAGACTATAATATACTATACTCTTAGGGTTTTCTTTTAAATAATATGTTAAAAATTAACTGACTATCGATAAATATTAATGTTTAATGTTAATGAAATCAAACTTTATCTTGAGTATATATTGGTAGTTGAAATGTTACTTTTTTGTACTCACCACTGGAATCACTATGAGTAAGCAGTTTAATGTCGTTGTCTTTACAGAATTGCTGTAATGTGGGAGGAACAATACAACAAGTGGCAAGATTGATTTGAATAATTTTTGGCTTTACTACTGCCCACTCATAAAGAGCTCTAAAAAATAAATAAAATTTCCATCATTAGGATTCCAAATATGATTTCATTTCAATTTCAATTATGTATGATAATACTAAATTAATCGAACATTTCACTAACAATCTACCTGAATGCAGATTCATCAATATCCGCAATGCCAAGCTCCTTAACGACGTGGTTGTCTACATATTTTTCCAAAGATTTCCATACTGATTTAATTTCATTGAGGCAATCTTTCTTTGCTTCAGATTGCTTACCATTAAATGCAACGATAATATTGTCCACTTGATCAACTTTAAGCTGTTGTTTAAGAGCTATTAAAATTAATAAAAAATATATCAAATTATAAACCAAAAAGTATACAAAAAAAGTACAAATGCATCATTAAATTTTTGTAATGTTATAGCCAATTACATTTTTGAATGATACATGGTACTACCACCACTACAAAGATTTAATACTCTGCCGTTCTACTTATAGTCAAGATATCACTGCTTGGTACTCTAATTCGGACACCCTGTACAATATTCATCATCTGTGTCTCACAGCCAAACCCATAATACTTCCTTTAAAAAAAGACTTGCGACTTATTGCCTAATATCAAAAATATTGTAAGCAATATTGTGCAATAGTTCGCAAGAAAAAAAAATGTGATCAAGTGCAGTAAAATAATGATTATTGAATGAAATTTTCTGTCTACAGGTATTGGTATGATACACAAACCTCATCAATCCCGCTTAACATTTGAAGATTTCAGGCATTAAATACAGAAACTTTGTTTTAAAATGTTAAAGAGGCATTCAACCTGTTGTACATTGTAAGTTAAACTTTTGCTATAGCTTTGCACCCACTTATGTACAAACTTTAACATTTTTCCATTGCTCTTTACAAGTAAAGGGATTATAATAAAACCATTCTCAATGTAAGTAATGTGTGACATTTACCATTCTCAATGGCATCCTTTAACAGTGCTTCATTATCACTGCTCAGAAACACTTTAAAGCCTATCTTCAAATCTTCCACCCCATTTTCTTCTATTTTAGCATACAAGTCACTGTCTCTTGAAATAAGTATTGGGTGATTCAATTGACCATCCACCGTGTTTCCCTTTTCAACATATTCTTTGAGAGTATAATTTATCACATCAATTAGCTAAAATTAAAGAAAGTAAAATATCGGAAAAATACAGACTATGTTGAAATTAATTTGAATAACTAATCAAAACAAATGTGTCTTATTACAATAACAATTTTAAAACATTTTGTTTAAGAGGCTAATTTAAGAATATAAAGTTTAGATGAGGCAAATAATGAACTACAATAAAATATTTCAATAGTAATTGATGTAAGTAAAATGTTTAACACAATATTTCATTTTATTTTTATGCTTTCAGACTAGACAAACATGTTCGTAACTTTTTGAAACCTACAAATAAAAACGAGCCTCCAAAATACGATTCTACTGCTTATTAATACTTAATGTTTTTAAATGAAATTACTAACCTCTTCTTTGGGATTTGCTGCAGGTTTTTTCTTTAGATCATTTATTGAAAGAATGTTACCGGTGCTGAAAACAAGTTTTCCGTTTGAATTTAATACCTTTGCAGCCATTCTAGAGAAATAGGAACTAGTAGAAATCTTTACGCACTTCCAAAATAACCTCTAAAGGCTCACCAGCACAGACATAAAATAGAGAAATGTCCACCACCACAGAACACTTAAGCCAGAGAACTTGTCATGGTACGGAGGTCACTCTATTGAGATAATAATATGATTAAAGAAATTGCGTTGTTCGCTTTTCCGTGTTTGGGTTGTTCACTTAGCCGTGTATAATATAAAAGATTATTTATTCATTACTAAGTTATATATAGAGTGCGTCACGGTCGATGGAACATTGCAGGTTTTTATAGAAATTTGCTGAAAATTTGATAACTTAGGTTTTTGGCCTTGCTATATCTATCCCTAAAATATTTTCTTTAACGTAGTATTCTGGCTTCTATAAAAACTAGCGACAACACTGATTTTTTAAATTGAACGCTTGTTCCATTTTCCGTTTTGCTATCACTTTCTCAACATTTTTGGAAAATAATTCTCTATACCTACTACCACCAAAATAGAGCCCAATTTAAATTCTTATTGCTAGGATATTTAGATATTTGGAAAGGTGAAATCATGGTTGCAGTTTGCCAACATCTTGGTCACTAGCTTTGGTTAGTTTTGTTAGGATAGTACTTTCTGCGATGTACAAGGTGTTTAAAAAATCATAAGTTTCATTTAGGCTCTGAAGAAGTTAACAGGTTGATTGGAGAAAAGTCAGCAAGTTTGATTGATCAACAACCGACGCAGGAGGAATCCAGAAGATATATAAATAGGAAAACAAAATATTGTAGCTTATCTGTATCAACTTTAACCTCTACCTCTTCGCTGGGGCTGGTGTCCTGTTTTTTACGTTTACGCAAACAGTGCAACATTTGCATGTATAAACGATAAATTGGCAATAGGTCCCTTGCATGAATAAATTTGAGGCAAAACATCATAGATCCTTTTTTAATGAAATGCTGAAATCTACCTAATTATTATTTTTCTTGGAAAATAAATATTTCTATTTAAATTAGGGACTTAAAGTTCACCCTTCTTCTTCTGGCACTCCTAGCTGAGATTCGATATCGCCATGGCTAATCTTGCTGTATTGGCTATTCTTCTAAATAATTCACAGGAACTGCAGTCACACCACTCCCTTAAATACCACAGTCAGGATATCCTCGGTCGACCTACACTTCTTCTACCCCTTATCTTTGCACTGAATGATATTTCTCGCGCTCATGATGTGCCCCAAGTTTTCGCCTTTTGATTGTGATTATTACTTAAAAGTCTTTGGTTGTCCTTTGAAGAACCTCAACGTAACAGGTTAAAAAATACATAATAACGAACCATACGAATTTAGATCCCAATTACAGAAGAACTTTTTCATTTTATAAAAAGTTCAACGAGCGACTTCTATTCTCCATTATTAACAATTATGTCTTCTTCATTGTTTTGTATTTTGCTTATTATCATCGCTTTAGTTTTCTTAAAATTAATTTTATGATCACAGTTATTGCAATAATGTTGTAAGTCTTTCAGATTTTCAGCTAGCAGTAGAGTGTAGAGTGTCATCAGCATATCTTACATTACTGAGTACTTCTCCATTGATCACTATGTGTTCTGACGGCACTTATCATAAGATGGTGTACTTTATGCCTTTCCGAAGTCAATGAAACACGTGTAAACTTTTTGATTCATATCTAGGCATCGTTGTGCAAGAATGTTTAAGCCGAATGGAGCTTCAAGAGTACCAAATTCCTGGCGAAATCCCATTTGTGTGTTACATATTTCCAGATCTAGATTCTTGTGGATTCTATATTATGGATTATCTTTAAAAACAAGTTTAGTGTTTTTTGAAGTGATTAAAGCTAGAATGCGATATTCATTGCAGCCTTTTGCATTTGATTTCTTTGTAATTGCTATAAATGTGGACATAAGAAATTTCTTATTTACTGTTCCTGTTGTGTATATGGTGTTATTGTAACTAAACTCTTTAAATAAAAATTATGTATTGCATCTGTTGAACATAGTTTGGTTTTTAATATCCCATAACATAATTTGTAAACCACGTTGTAAAAATAATTTTAGAACAACGAATGATATATGATAATAACTATCTACATTCTAAATACGCCAAACTTGGTATCATCTATATCACTGTTCAATGAAGCTGCCAAACTTATACCCAGAACCTTCCTAGTATCTTTTGGATCAATTATGCCATCATCCCAAATTCTAAAACAAGGTATTAGTTTCATTTTGACAATAAATAATGCATAATGGATTACATAATTAATATTATGTAGGAATAATTTCCTAGAGCGCATAATAGCTATAGGGCGTTTCAGAGTCAAAAGACTGTTTATCAAAACTGCAAAAATCCTATATGGTTCATAGATAAAAAAAGTTGCCCATGATTTGAGAAAAAGGAAGCATTAGTCAATTTTGATAATTCAAACCCGCAAAAGACAACTGGTATAACAAAAAATAAAGTTTCCCGTGGTTTGAGAAAAGGAAAACATTGTACATTAATCTGATGACAATAGACTTAATCTTTTTTTTATACAAGCAATTATAAAAAAAACGTGATAGACAACAGTATTTCCTTAGCGATGGCTGGTTTCAACCATTTATTCGATGTTCCTCGGGTTTTTTGCGATTTTACAACTCTTACACTCTGATACACCATTAACATAAAGAAACAAAAACATAATAAAATATTTTTAATTTATCTAAGTTTAAGAATCGTTGTATGTTGCGGTAATGCTAAAATTATATTGGTGCTACACTTTAAAAAGAAAATCTCTGAAAAAGACTTCATTATTTCACAATTCATTATTTAAATACTTAAACACATTGTTTATTAATGGAATAAAAAAAATATATGTTGTATTAAAGAATGTTTACCTTGCTGTGCTGAAGTAGGGTGAACTTTCATGTTGAAATTTTTCAATAATAGGGTTTTCAAAATGTTCTTTCTCTTCCGCGGTCCAGATTTTATTTTTACTGGCGACTTGAGACAATACGCCCGCTGCTTGAGGACCACCCATTACAGCTATCCGCGCATTTGGCCACATGAAGAGGAATCTTGGAGCATAGGCTCTTCCACTCATACCTAGTAAATCATTGTTTTGATCAACTACAAATTTATGAGTGATAACAAATAAAATTCATTCGTGAACCAGGTCGCCAAAAGGGGGCACTTTTACTTCCAAATTGCATGCCACACTTTTGGTGTCCAAATTTAACCGCTTCAGAAAAAAGAAAGAAAGAGAAATGCGACTTAATATTCTTTCCGATTAAAGAAGTTAGGCACTGTTTTTTACGCAAAAAAAAGTAGAGAATACGATTTTTGAAGTCCAAAGTGGCACAAAACTGTTTTAGCAGTTAAAATGTGTGCTACTGCTCCATGTGTCGCCAGGGAAAAGAACGAAAAACTGGATGGATTAGAGGTTTCATCGACAGAAACCCCACTAATTTAAACAACTCCAATAAGTGACCAAAATTTGTTAAAGGAAGGATTAAGTAACTATATCTCCATCAGCAGCAGGTAGAACACTACAGCCCATGATTAGAATTTTCCAGAAACTTTGGACCCTACATATTATATGGTAGAGTATTACTAACAGTCTTTTAGGTTTACCTACCATAATTTCCGGCGCCATAAGATCCACCAATAATAACAGTTAGTTTCGGCACTTTGGCACACGCAACAGCTGTCACTAATTTAGCCCCATTTTTAGCTATGCCCCCACTTTCTGCATGCCGGCCCACCATAAATCCTAATTGGTAATAGAACCCCAAGGTCAATATCAAGGCAGTTTCTCGACATCACGAATTTTCCACTCACCCGTTATATTTTGCAAAAATATTAGAGGGATTTTTCTTTGCGAACAGATCTCAATGAACTGTGCCCCTTTCAATGCACTTTCAGAAAACAGAACCCCATTATTTCCAAGGATTCCCACGGACTTTCCATATAATTTAGAAAATCCACACACTAATGTTTCACCGTATTTCTTTTTAAATTCATGAAATTTAGACCCATCAACTATCCTACAAGCAGTAAAGTAAACACAGAACATTGAGACATAAAACGAAAAAGTACAACCAGACCAACAATTTATTTTCTTCAATAAAAAATAAAGAGGGCATGTGCTGTATTTCCAACTACTTTTATTTAAAGGAACTCCACTAAAATGTGCAATAAGTACTAGGACAACAATTTTATTTTATCAGCTTGGATTAGATTTGAACATAAAAGATTAATTGCCTCTATATCGCTATAAAAAAACAATATACTTTGGTACAGTTTTTATCATTGAAAAAAAACGATAAAATATATTTCAAATAAGTATTGACTATGTAAATCTTTAGATAGGTAGGTACCTCGCAATAACCTCCCTAACATCATAAGGTTTCTGAATGTCCTCATCAATAATACCATACAGATCTTTGCAGTTATACAGTGGCAATTGAAATTCTTCAGTAAAAGGATTTTTTGTTGGCCGATTTAAATTTTTTATAATATCTTTTGTCAGTTGTATTGCGTGTTCATCATTTACAGCATAGTGATCGGTAACTCCCGAAACTGAACAATGAAGATCTGCACCACCTAACTCTTCAGCAGAAACCTAAGAAATTGAATCTATGTTTTGTGTCAACAATAAATTTTTTCTTATATATATGTATATATTCATTACCACTTCACCAGTAGCAGCTTTTACTAAAGGTGGTCCGGCCAGAAATATTGTACCTTGCTGCTTTACAATAACACATTCGTCAGACATAGCTGGCACATAAGCTCCTCCTGCAGTGCATGATCCCATTACAACTGCCACCTAAATATACTTGGTTTGATTACATATGTAATGTAATCAATGTAAATACTATTTACAAATCTTCTGCATTCCTCCTGAGTCGGTTGTTGATAAATCAAGCTTGTTGACGTTGAACTGAAACTGGCTCGAGGTTAAGATTGTTTGGTTGCTTATAGATTTCTAAGGATTCTCTGATTTTTTTTTGGTTTATCCTCTTCAATAAACCTAAAAAAATCCGGTTTTACCTTATTCCATAAAGCTAAAATTCTAGCATGCAATCAATTCTTCTACCCACGAAAAACCCGAGGATCCATAAAAATCCATAAGCAACCAAACAATCTTAACCGCGTCTCAGGTCTTTACCTTTAACCATTATGGGAATCAGTGATCCGAGACAATGTTCATGCCCCTCTTTGAGCTCCACCCCTCTCAAGAAGTATATAAGGACGTACAGAGTAAAATGTTAGCCAGTTTCAGTTAAGCTCTGAAGAAGCTAACAGAATGGTTGGCGAAACGGCAGCAAGTTCGATTTTATCAACAACCGAGGCAGGAGGACTAGAGAAGATTTGTAAACAATATTACAAAAATATATGGAAGCTTCTTTGAAAAAATAAAATTGGTGTATGTCCTCCAACAACAGATTAATAATCCAATAGGCAAGGATTTTTTTGAGACAGTCAAAATATCAAAAATTGCTATTATATAATATATATAAGTTATAATAAAGAGACTGGTCAATTTGTTTTTCTAAAAATAAATGTAAATTTTTTTTTAATCTGATTGCGAGCAATTTGTTAAAATGTTAAATCTTTCTTGTGTTTCTTGTGTCACTCAGATACAGTATATGCCAGTTATTTTTAAAATCGCTATTTGCCTCATTACATTATGTATTACCTGAGGTATTCCCTTTGAAGACATGTTTGCTTGGTTAAAAAATACTCTTCCAAAATGATTTTTGTCAGGAAAAACTTCTGATTGATGTGGCAAATTGGCACCCCCACTGTCTACTAAATATATACATGGTAAATTATTTTCTTCAGCGATTTCCTGCGCTCGCAAGTGTTTTTTCACAGTGATAGGATAATATGTACCTCCTTTTACAGTTGAATCATTGGCTATTATCACACAATCTTGTCTGCAATCAACAACAAAGAACCTCATCTTTATATTATAAAAACTATATAGAGTAAGGCTTTATAAAAAAAAAGTTATAAAAAATAAAGAATTATAAAACATGAATTTGAATATAGAGTAAATATAACATTATTTTTTATAAGTCTAAAAGTGTGTTAACAAAAATTATTAAAATAGAAATGTTTAATTGGCACCAAATACACAAATCTATTTAAGATGAAATGTGTAATTTTGTAAGCGTGCAGGCAAGTAAATACCAACTCCAAAAACAAATTCAAATACGAATTTGCATCCAAATATGAACATTCCTTAAAATAAAAACAAAATTTTGATACTGTACATCAAAAATGTCTTGGGGACCTACTTTTCTGTCTGAAAATTAAGCTATGAATTTAAAATAAATAAATCTTGGATGACTAGGATTTTCAAACTCTATACCTGAGAGCAGCACTAAGAATTTAGTGGCACTGCTATTTATTATTTATTATAATCATGATTTTTGCAGGCACAATCATAATATAAAAGAATGAAAATAACATATACATAAAATTAAGGATTAAAAAAATTAAGAATAAAATGCCAACATTCTTGGAAGGAGTAACCAGTATGCCGATCAATCTTAATTCAGAAATATTTTACCCTTGTACTTTTCCTATGCCAGTAATAATACCAGCAGCTTTAATCTTGCCATCATACATTCCATTAGCAGCTAAACTAGAAAGTTCTAGGAATGAAGTATTTGCATCTAACAACAGATTAACTCTGTCTCTGGGTAGTATCTTGCCTTTTGTTACATGTTTTGTAATATTCTCCTTTGAAACTGCTAAAACTTCTCTAGTTTTATTTTTTAAGGTTTCTACAAGTGAAGACATTCGTCCATAATTCTTCTAAAAAATTGATAATCAGTTTTGATCTCCATAAAAACTGCCAATTCTTACCAGAAACCTGTTAGATTCAACATCAATTTTTGATACAATAATATCACTAGATAAAGAACGATGTGGCATTAGGTTTATGCATTTTACTGCAATGTTTTTCTGGTAAGACATTTTCTGTTTGCAAATCGATTGTAATATCATCCTCTTTCGACTTGGAAAAGATTCATGAGTTCACTTAAATTACAGATCAGAGAGAAAAACGACTATAAATTGTGAATTATCACAGTAAAATGAGAATTGTTTACCGTAATCTAAACTAAAGTTAAGGCGTTATCGCTAGAAAATGACAAGTTTCATCGGCCATGACTATGAGTTTATTTGCTGACTTTTTTCGTTTCCTGGTATTGGTTAGTTTTTTTGAGTTAAGCTGTTGAAAAATTTTAGATGATGACGTCATCAGTCGGTACTACAATCAGACGTGATGGGAATTCTGTTACTTTACGAAACGGTTCTTCTTCTATCGAGCCAAACAGCAACCCATTTTTATTCTGCAATGTTTCAGAGACCACAGACTCCGGGACATAGTAAAAAAAACACACACCACACTAACTACACTGAGTATTGAAAATTTTATCCGTAATCTAGGGCAACCTCAATATCCATCATTTTGTGGTTAGGAGTAGGAAAAAGATATTGTTTAACGGTATTCTAAATTTTTTGTGTTCTTGACAGGCGAAAAATACTATTATTAAGCAAAATATGATTGGTAGAAGCACTCTTTTAGCCAGGCAGGCATTCACATCTTTCGTCAGACATCACAGTCATGGAGGCGTTCCGGGAGAAGTAAGTTACATAAGACTATAAAACTTAAAAGATGAATTTTGGTTAAAATGAAGAAATCGGCTCCGTTTTTATTTTTGAATTTCAGTGCAAAAGAAATAATCTGACATAATTAAGATGTTCCAAAAATCTTTATAATGTTTATACCTACACAACTTTTTGATGTCCAGAAATTTAATGTAAAATAAATGAAAATCCTACTCTTCGAAAAAACGTATATTTATCTTGAGGTGAAAAATTGTTATTATTTGATTTGTTGGTACCTTTAGTCTAAAATTATTACAAACCCAAGAGTTTGTCTTTACCCAGGCAATTTCTTGTTTCACTCATGTTTCTTTAGTGCTATGTTTCTAGTAAAATGTATTGTAAGTAGTTCAATGTTTTTAATCTATGAAAATGAAAAGGTCTTGAAAGTGCCTTCTGTCATTTTCTATGCTAGAATTTATCCTACGTCGTGTATTTAATATTTAATTTAATTTAATTAATGTTTAATATCAAACATATTGTCAGGGGTACTAGGGTGAGTTTGATAAACAAAATCTTTTATTCTACCTCAAAGGTAAGTTCAGGACAGTAAGGTCTGGAGATCTGACAAGCCACAGAGTCAAACTACCCCTTCCTACCCAACGGTTTGGATAAGTCTGGTCTAAAAAAAATTCTTCGTGAAAAACGTGTGCTGGATATCTGTCGGGTGGAGTCTCAAAATACCACACCGGACGTTTACATTCCACCAATATTGATAATTCACTTCACCCATCCAATGAGGATTTACTGGTGATAATGCTTGTTATGCAAAATTGACTCCTCCATTGCTCAAAAAAGTAGCTTCATTGTTTCATAATATTCGAAATAAATAGGATTTAGCTAATTAGAGCCTGATGTCATTCAATATGATAAGGGTGTTGATTGTGGTATTTTAGAATTCGGTGTACCGATGTTTTATTAATATCAAAGTTAAACTTATCACTAAATATGGTTGTTTGAACTCGTACCCATTCAATGAATAGTTTATAATCGGCTTTTATGTTAATGTTATTCATTAATTTGTCATATCAATCTAAATCTCTTGCTCAAAGCTCAAAGCATCAATCTATATTTGTAACTCAAGAGTGTCACTAGATAAAGGTAATTGCTTTAGTTTCGCCAAATAGCGGGTCTTTTACTGCTCGCTACTCTGCTAGTTCTTATGAAATCAGTTAGATAGTTTTATTTATAAGCATTCTGGAAATGAAAAAAAAAACCTCTGATGTTTTGTTCTTTCGTTGGTGAGTTGGTAAAAGGATGTATTGGTATATCTACTGCTTTAACTTGGACATTTTCTTTCCTTTTATATTACTTGACGCTTAGTTCTTGTGAAATCGGTTAGTTTTATTAATCAACGTTCTAGAAATTAAAAAAAGTACAAATAAAATACTTCTTCAGTTAATTTCTGATTGTTTTCTTCTTTCGTTGATGGGTTGGCAATGGGATGAATTAGTATATAACAGATTCACTCAATGAAATTCATGACATTAAGTGAATTTGAAGAATTCACATACGTTGCTTCTACTCACGACGTTATCGATGTATCTCTTCTTAGCTCTCCGCAGGCCGACCAATATAATATTCATTTTGAGAAAATAACTAGGGGGTCGTCCTTATTACAGCCCATATGTTGTGATCGCAATTTGTTTATGTCATATTTGCGACTGTGATAAACTTAATTATTATTTATGTTGAATTAAGGAGAGCGTTATTGAGACGTCCTCGCTTGATAAGCGCAATGCGTGGATTCATTCGTTTATTGCGACTGTCATTAATTACATGTTCATCTAAAACCGCCATGTACCCTACGCATAAAAGAAAATCAGAATGTTCAAAACATACGGGATTTTTTTTATGTCGAGGGAAGGGCACACACACAGTATTTATCTTAAAATAACATATTTTTTCATTTAACCCCACTTTCCCCAAGATTTTTTCAATAAGCGGTGTTAAATAATGTTAAACGGTAAAAAGATACAGGGAGTTGAAAGTAAAACCTAATTTTCGAAAAATTGCAAATTCGAAATGAGTAAAGGTTCGAAATTTGGTATTAATTTGATCTTGAATCAATTCTGACGGAATTTTATTATCTTGTTTATAGGTTTTTACCGTGTTAAGCGACCACTGTTGTGATCATATAACAAAAGCGTAACACTTTCTCGTAAATGTCTTCAATGTAATCTATCTTAAATCGTTGTTGAATCGTTTTAGAAAGTGTCCTACAAATTTTGCGATGTTAACTGCTATTGATGTTTGTCTCTTTTGGGACTGATTTTAATATATTTACCCCTTTAAAATTATCAAAATATTTAGAGAATTATAGCTAGCCTAAGTTTAATCACTGTTTTGCTATTTAATATTTTCTGTTAAAAATAAAGTTTGCAGACCCAATTTCATTAAAATATTTTTTTTTGTATTCAAATTTAGTGAATAATTTCGATAATTACTAGTACTAATAATTATTGAAGTCAAATTTAAAAATCGGTCGAAATTTGACTTTGTCCAATTATAAACGAATACAACCACATACGGAAAAATTCACAATGTAATTTTCCTCGTAAATACGGTTTTTTATACGGACTTCTTAAACATTTTCGAGTATTAGTTCCTAAACAACGCTAACATCCTGTGTTAATTTATGTTAAAACTTTAAGAAAAAAATCACCTATAAAATTAAAATAGAGAAAATTGAACAGAATGTAATTCGAATACCTCGACGGCCTTGTATATACGAATCTCCTTTCTTTTTTAGAACTTGCCGTTTGACATTACAAACCGTTACAAGCTAACAGCGCTTTTTATTGCATTCTTCGGTTCAGCATTTGGTGCACCATTTCTCATATTGAGACACCAATTGCTTAAAAATCAGCAATCCTAATTATATTACTAGGTAAGTTTCATTAATCCTGTTGAATTACTGACTAATTCTTGACTTCACTTTCAGGGTTCTAGTTTTGATTAGCGAGTTATACTTACTTTACTCAGTGTGTCATTGCGTAGGCTCAAATAAAAAGTAAAGTATTCATTTGTAGTTTTATTAAACAAAAAAATGCCGATGTTTTCACAACAAGTGTTAGAGAAACTTCACTCCAGGCAATGCAGGAAGTCCAATGGAATGGGAATCATCAAAATAGCTACATCTAAAAATCTAACCAGGATAATTAATTTTACTTCTTCAGAAGATTATTATAAACTTTTATGTTTATATATCGTATATTCAAGAAATGCGCAAAGTAAAAAAATGCAAATATATTAATCCGTTTATAATTCGCATTTCTTTGGTTTTATATCGAATATTCACTCATAGATTGAGGTGTACAGGAAGTGCCGATAGAAGGCTAAATTTACTGCCTTATTATGCTTACGAGTGACCATTTTGAGAGATAATTATTCTCAGTTAAAACACTGTCAAGTTTCTTCTACCGTTAGAATCGTTAGGTAAAAGAGATTTCAATAACGAATGGAACAGAATGTTCAGTAAAAAAAAGTTTAAAGAAAAATATGTAAATGCCAAGTGATGTTTCGAAGGAACAATATTTGCGAATGACGTTTTAGAGGAAATGTTGGTAAGTACAATTATAGATGCAATTGTCTATCAAATGTTGTCATAAGAGATTGTGGATGGAAGGACTATTAGTGGAATATAGAAAGTGAAATAAGAATTTATACAAAGAAACGGAGGTCAAACCAAAGAAGAAGAGGATAAAGTAGAGCTTTTTTATTGCATGTTGTAGCTAACTCCCTTAAACCCAATAAAAATTAAGTGAGTAAGTGAGTAATTAGTAAGCCGCTGCATTAAAATAAAAAGAGTCCGGAGGCTGGCGTTGAAATGTAAGCGGCGGTGTATGCAGAACTGATCTATCGCTCTTATTTTTATTTATTTATTTCATACTGTACTTAAAATAGCTATATACATTTAGCCAATTGAAATTTAACCTTCCAGTGCCTGTATTTCATGTGCACCTTATGTCATTGGGCGCACAAAAAAATGTCAGATTGCGAAGAACCAAAACATCAATAGATAAATATACATACATATATACATTATAGCCATATAGCTATTAGATAATATAGTGTCCCTATTACGGTAAAAATTCATGCCCCGCATTTCATCCACTAACCTAAACTTTGGGCCATTTTCTTTCAAAACAGCGATTTCCACGCATTTAATTCGTTTTCCCAGAACATTTAACGAGAAATATTGCCTGACAGCGCCACATCCAAACCTATTGACAATTTGGTTCGTTAGTTTAGTTGTCGAATGACTCAAGGTCATTGGTTTAAAATCTCGCGCATGCGCATGTTGAATGGACCTTTTCAAAAAAATTGATAGTTGCTTCATAAATTTCTGTATTATCGTTATAGGCAAGGCCTCTAGTAGCTATATGATTATAGCAAATATATTTCTGTTTTGGTGGTACGACATTTGATGACCTGACATTTTTGATGAAGCATGTTTGATTTATTTCAAAATTTATTTTTAGTGGGCGATATGTTGGCTCGGACGCGCTTACGCATTATCGGTGAAGGTAAATATTTTGCACCGAATTCATATCTCTTGTGTAATGTCTAAACGTTCAATACAGTGCCGAGGCAAGTTGTCTGCCACCAGGGTGCAAAAACTAAATTTGATTCCCACCGACGATTTTGCCGCCCGAATGACACAAACCATTTACACCAGGAGCTGTTGTCAGCAAACAAAAATATCGCAAAAGATACAACTGTGGTGCTCTAAACACTTTGAATGTAGACCAAATGAGTGTGCTGCTAAAGCAAATTTGCCTTAATTCGACTAACATATTAACTTGTATTTGAAAATATAAAAATAAGTGACAAGTGACAGATATCAAGTCACCGATATACCAAACTGCTGTGTCCGAATAAAAAAATAAAATAAAAATTTATACCTATAGCTACTCGGTTCAAGACACTATTACAAGACAAAGAAATGATAATACCTACTCAATAATAGATAAACCGTTTTTAAAACAACAATTTTCTTCTATATAAATTTAAAATTACATTTGATTACAAACAAAACGTCGTTATAATTCTTTAATGCAGGCAACCCAGTAAACACGATTCAAATTAATCTATTTTAAAATTTAAAAGTCTGCGCCGCCCCTCTCCTGGAGTATTTTTTTGTAGACAATTTAGCAATTGAGGCATTTTATTGTGTTAATTTGTTATTTCCTTCGCAAGAACGCGCGCCTGAAAACATGGCAAGTCATCAGACGCAAGGTATCCAACAATTATTGGCTGCTGAAAAAAGGGCCGCTGAGAAAGTGGCCGAAGCCCGTAAACGTAAGTATTATTAATTTTAAGCTTCGGTTAATTTTAGATGCTGCCTCGTTATTTTTGGATAACAAAATTAGTATTTTTGTTTTCCCACAAGTGTTTATAAATATTGTGGTGTGCGGTACCTATATATTCTGGGATACTAAGAGTTGGCTACTTTTTAAATAGGTGATTATAATAGGAGCGATAGTTGTATGCAATTTAACTAACACTTTCCCTTTAGTTGGAAACATATTTGGATTATTTAATTTATTTTAAGTCGTTCGCTTAGAGACACCATGCGGAAAATTCTCTTTATAACGAGATTCTCGTTAAGGTACATTTTTTTTCTACATAAACACAAAGCGTAGAAAGAACGCTTGTTGGTGGGTAAAATAACCGTAAGTATGTTACTTATAATTTATCTTAGCGTCTTGTGTTATCGTATTTTAAAGACCTTATTATTTACTTATTCACTTCACTTATATCTACTATTTTGAAGCAAGCAACTCAAAACATTCTCAGGTTTTCGTAAAATTTACTAAAAAAGGCAAAACAAAAGCGATATGACGAAAGGGATATTTAGTTATTTTTTAAAAAAGAAAACAAACTATCGAATGTCTTTATTAATTTAGTACCGACACTAAAGGATCATGTCGTAAACCTCTTGATTTTTGATCTACACTCTGTTAAAATTGTAAGAAGAAAAAACATCATTCTAGATATTTTTCTGAATTTTCGTAGATTGTAGAGAAGAACATTATCGTACTTTTTTTGATGTATAAGATTGTGACGTAGTTACAAGTTTTGAACTTAATCTTACTTAATACTTTTCATATTTTTTTAAAAAGGCGCTTACCAGGCGTGGAAACATTTTTTTTAGGACACTTAAAGTTATTTAGTTATGTAGCTCAAAAATGAGCATTTTTGCAAGCTTATTGTCATTTAGGTAAACCATTTAAAAGTCGAGTGTTACTACTTTTTTACCTAAAATATTTCATATTGTTTTACTTCATTTTTACTAAAGGCAAAGTAAAGAGGATCAAACAAGCAAGAGATGAGGCTCAAGCAGAAATAGAGGTTTATAGAGCTGAAAGAGAACGTCAGTTCCGGGAATACGAGGCAAAGTATATGGGCTCGAAAGAAGATATCGCTGCGAAAATCGACAAGGAGACCGAAGTCTTTCTCCAAAATTTGGAGAAAATGGTGATTGATAACAAGGAAAAGGTAAATCAGATATTCTAAAGCGATAATTTGCTATTCTTATTTGTTGGCTGATATTCCCAGTGAAATCATTTCGTCCCTACCTATGGAATAGATTTGTTTGTTTTGCTAAACTGATTAGAAGCTGACGCAAAAATAACCAGGAAATATGATGGACATTAACCGTGAATATATTTTTTCCTACTTTTTCTATAACAGACAAATAATTTTAGATTTAGATTCGGATCGAGCGGAGCCAAAAACTAGTGACAAGTATAGTATACTTTTTCTACGACCATTAGTTTTTGGATAGATTTTTGCAAAATTGCGCGAATAGATTCACTGCGTGAGGTGTAACCTGATCGTTAAAATTGACAAAATTTACGTTTGGGTGTTATTTAACGAGTTAGCAAAGTATTCTTATTTTTGTTGACAGAAAAATGTCGACCAAGATGGTTAGTTAGTTAGTTATATTTTGGTCAGCAAGCTGAGCTACCCATGTTTAATCAAATTTTAGTACGCAATCAACTGGTAAACTAATCAAAATTAATCAAAACTGCTTATAGACATGTTTTCTCTACTGATCAATTGTGAAATCTTGCTGACCAAGTAATTTTATTTGTTATTGTGCAGACACATAATACAAGCAGATTGATTCAATTTTTGACTATTTGTAACAATGTAGAATAAAGAATGCAAAAAGATTTAATGGCAAAATTTTGTTGCGAATCAATGTTAATAACCATTCAATTACTTGTCTTTAGATTTTGGCCACAGATTTTGCAAGTCAGTATGTATCACCTTAAGAGTGGATGGGTCTGATTTCGAGATTCGTTGATCTTTTAATTTTACATACTTACCCTTCCCTGTCAGTTGGAATCAGATGTGTTTAAAGCATTGAAATTGAAAACAATTGTTTTCTCTCATTGCCTTCGGCAAACTAAATAATATTGCCCATTTTATTTTGTATAGTCGCATTATCTGACGAACTGTCTGTCATAACGAGAAATCAGCTTTCCATTATTCTAGACAAAATTTTCTATTAAATTTTGTGCTCCGTGGCTTTAATTTAAAACATGACCTTACGTATCAATTAACGTATAGCATGCGTTTTCGTAACGCTTGTAATTTAAAAACGCCCACTTAACTGATCTATATTTACAATAAATAGTAGTGTTGGTACATGAAGAGTTCAAATCTAGACGAATTTATTGTTTTTTTGGTTAGAACAACTCGGCATGAAAAAAATAAAGACCAAATGCTTTACTCATAGATATAATCAAATAGATAAATTTGTTTCGTTTGTTACCGTTTGCAACACATGTATGTAAACGAAGCTCAATCGTAAATTTAAGCTTATTAAATAATTTTTTTAAACACAATCTAGGCAACACAATTATTACAAAAATGTAGTGATCATAAAGTACCTGACACCTAGCAGAATACAAACAGCCATTCGATATAAAACAGAAGGAAAGGCAAAAAGAATTTCATTTGTGCATAGAAGAAAAACGCTGATTTTTCTTGTTTTCAACAATTTGTTTTTTCAAGTGATTATTATTCGTACACCTTGTTAACACACCCTTTATAATATCATCGCTTTGTTGTAGGTTATCGAAGAATTAATCGAACTTGCAGTAGACGTTAAACCGGAAGTTCACCGAAATTACTTCATAATGAAAAGCTTCAACAAAATATAGATATGGGTCTGCGACGCAATTAGATTCAATTTAACTAGAAGTAGAAGAATTTAGTATAGAAAAGCTCTTGTTTTGTCTTTATTAATTATAATTGTACTATAATAAAACGTAAGACAGTAGTGTATGTACAAAACATCGGTATCACTTAAAATTGGTCAAAAATATTACATAAAAATTTTTTTCATTAAAAGATACATATGCTGATCCACTTCGAAACTGTGCAAGTTGTTGGCATCTCCTTGAAGTCGCATCAGTAGACCTCCAAACGATACGTAGGCAGCCCTGAAAAAGATGAAAAGATGTACCTAACATATATTGTTGATTGTATTAAAAATGTTTGTGTTAAGAGTTTTGTCAATATTAAACTCCCTTGACAAAATATTTGCGTGACGGTACCACAGGTATGGTCAATCAAGATTTCACATTCATTTATGAATTTAGAGGAACCGTGTTTACAGACGCGTACGGTTACAAATTCTGAAAATACAAAAATTTACTCTAACATTCAATATGTTATTTATCTCGAACGATATATTAGGCATTTACGGGCAATCTGAAGTTCAATTTTATTTTATTATTTATAATTTATGTTAAATGGTTTGCAAAATATTAACTTTAGTAACCCCGTTTACACTTTATTTCAAATCCCCGAGTCACTAAGTACCACTAAATAAATTCAAGCCGATTTATCGGATCCAAACCAAATCATTTCAAGTCAATCAGAGTTTCAATTTGGTGAAGTCAAACAAAGAATGATGAGACGGACGAGGATGTCGATAAGGAACGTTGGACCCAATATCGAAGAGTTGTTTTAACGCTATTCACGAAGGAAGTATGGATAGTGGTCGTGGTTTAAAAACACAACCAGCTAACCACACTGCCACCGTGTACACCGTTATCGGAATTACGGCAATTTATAGTTATGATTCGAAGAGGACCTGTAAGTTTTAGTAGTTTTTAAAAAGCGTGTACACTATGGTCTAAAAAATTAATACGAGTAATATATAATATAATAATGGTAAACAGGTAAACTTGGACTAACACATCTATGATCGATTTATTTTCAAATTTAGCGCTACTACTAGTAACCAAAACTAACTAAACAAATGAATTAACTAACAACACTAACCAAAACTAAAAACACAACGATATGTCCTTTAAGCAGTGAACACAATCTACACGTTAATACTAATAAGATATAGTTTTATATTATTTTTCAATTTCTCTACTTGCATGGGATTTTGGAGGCTAAATCGTTTGGGATAATAATTTTAATTGTTTATCGTTCTTTGAAGTAAGCTCGTGATTTTGTATTTTTTGATGGTGACAATGTTGTTTAGGTAAAATACCTACTAATAATTTCATGCTTTTGTTAAATAATAAAAAAATTTTAAAATGGTAAATTCCTATAAGTACAGGATTTACGATTATTGCATATTACCAAAATATTACATGATCTGATACTGTTTTAATAAATAAATAATGACTCAACCAGTTAATATATAAATAAAATATATAAATATGATGGCATAAATAAAATATCTCCATGTAATAACGAAAATTTGTTAATTTGTTAATTAAGTTATAATGTGTATGATAATGTATATATAATTATTATCAAAAAATTTAAAAAGAAAATTTAAATTTTTTCGAGTTTTCAGGAAATAAAAAATATTGGTTAAATGTAGCTATTTAGTTAAACAGGCAGCAAGCAAGTAACAAATATGCACTGCTACTTTCCGACTGAATATATTTTTTAAAAAGTTACAATAGAATTAAATATTTTGCATTTGTAAGTATATCAATCTGTATGCGCTTTTTAGAAAGTCTTTTAACAGGTTAGATTATTACAAATATTAGAAGAAAATTTTACCAAATTTCAAGGAAATTGATCTTAGTTTTTAGAATATGTACTCGAGCACCTCAGCCAGAGTGACTTTTTCTAGTTGTATTTCTACTCACTCCAATCCCCATAATTATAAGTCTCTGGGTATAAAACCTATTAATAATATAAATATGTTTTACTCTTTTTTACAATTTTCTTACAACAGGGTGAAAATTGGCGACAACTAGAACCCGACTGGGGTCTCGAGCTCTAACAGGAAGGACAGTGAGGACAAAACTATTTTTTAAGGAACACACCAAAGCCACAAAAAATGGAACACGTTTTCGAATAACTTTTCTTTATTAACATAAACTTAAACTAAGAATATTTTTATGCTTATTTCAAAACAAATACACTAAAGATTTTTTGTTAATCTTTGAAAGTATATATCTATCCTATTATCTAAGGCTATTTTGGATAAACTGAGGTTCGTATATTATATATCTATACATAATAATCCATATAAATCTATGCCTTGGATTGATTTATTTGAATGCAGTTGCTGTGGCAAAACTAGACGTAGATTACACTGCACCTTGCCCCCTTAAAATAGGCTTAAAGGGTATGAAACACGTGTGCTGTATGATATTTACAAGAATCGTCCTGATTAGATTCCAGGGTCTGTAAAATAATTTATACGGATGGTGAGATACTAGACTGACTATTCTTCCTCTAATTCCGGTATGGCCGAACCTCTGGGACGTATCTTACTAACTTTACGCCACCTCTTTGATTATTTTTTTGCTAGAGAATTTTCATTTAATAAATATTACACTTAATTGGTAAAATAATATACTTATTTTTTGATGACGAACCTTCAATATCTTGATGTCACTTTCAGTGGACAGTAAATTTATTACAGCTAGCGTTTTGAGACGGTGATCAGGATTCCCCCATTTTGACCACGCTCTCTTCTGGAATCTACTTAAGGAACCAGACCAAAGCATTTACCTTTCCAGCTTCAGCGCTGAGAAGAAGATAAAAGCAAGCAGCATGGCCGGCAAAATGTCAGCGATAATTCAATTCAGCGTTTCATAAATCACATTATTATTTATTTAAAATCTGACAACACAATCCTTTTATAGTTGTTTCCAAACCCACATCTGCAAAATTTGATTAAAAACTATTATTAATATTATTAAAAACATACTATTTAGACGTCCTCAAGTTTGTGGAATTGTGTAAAACTTGTAAAATCTGAATCAAAAACCTGCACAAATTAAATTAAAAGTATAAATATCGCTGAAATGTCTTTAAAAGTCTCAAGTCTTTTGATTTTTTTACTTGTATTTTCCACATGGAAAGCTTGGACGTTTTTAGTTAAAAAATTACTGACTACGCAATTCCAAGACGCACAGTCATGTAGGGATTTTGAAAGTCCCTTTTTGGTCTGCATTTAAGGTCTCGTCAAAGGAAACACTCCAGTTTTTATTGACGTTGGCTGTTAAAGGTGTGAGTTTTGAAAATTTTAAGTATGTAACACACAGTTTGGAATCTGTTGAAGTATTTATTCATAGTTTGACGAATAATGAGATGATCAGTGAAGGTAAAATTAAAATTATATCTATGAAAAAAAGGGTACCTTCTTTAAGTAAGGATCGTAATTTTTATTTAGCTCACCGCTGATAGTGGAATAATTGTAGGTAATCAATATATTGCGCTGTCGATCATTGGTTTTTATTGTAATTTATTTCCATATTCGGTGGTTATGAAAGAAAAAAAACGCATATCAAATGGTATGAAGCAATATTATTATTTTCACGAGATGCTACAAGGTACAAAAATAAACAATAATTATAGTTATTCAAGTTTTATCCAGGACATTATCAATGTTATTATAAATAAATAGGAAAAAAGTAAACGAAATACACCATACTAAATCTAATGTACAAAGAAAGAAAAGCTATGTTTTAAGTTTAAAATGTACAATCCGTTATAGTCCACTCTATATTAAATTATAGATGGCTTTAGTTATACTTTTTGAAAGTTCATAATGAATAAATAAATATATAAATAACATAGTTAACCAAGAAATTTTTAAAAATATATTATATTTAAAAATTATAAAAAAAAGTATTGAATTTCAACAATTATTAATGGGATTACAATTAATTAGGTGTCCGATATGTGCAGTGCACCGAGCAAAGGTAACTTAGCAAAAAATAACGCAGACTGCTACCAAAACACGATGTGCAGTGAATAACAGACTCAATCACAAAACATATTTCGAGCACAATGATAATATTTACAAACATTGCATGTATGCCATATGAATTTCCTCTGTGTAGCAAGCACCCAGCGCACCTGCAAATGAAAATGCTTCTACAATCGTGACATTTGGAACGAATGTTATTTTCTTTCCAGAACGACATGTTGCAAATAGAAACCCACTAGTGTCAAACCTAGCATCGAAACTAGGAAGCAGAATTACTTTATTTACGCTATATCCCATTAAAAAGTTTTTAATAGAAAAGTTGTTTTGTTTATTATACTCAATAATTCGTATTAATCCGTATAAGTTTATTTAGTTTCGAATGCGTCCAGTAATACATAATCATGGCTGTTAGATCATACTTACTTTGAAAAAGATCTACTACCAATAAGAAATCAGCAATGCTCGTTTTACAAAGAAAATCATTTTCTAATTGGCATAAACATTAACTCAATGCAGAAAACGAAAAATATAGTTGCTCAGACCACGATTTTTCAATTAATTCTCGAACGTTCAATAACATTTGATTTTTTTTTGTCAGCCAAATTTTGAAATACGGATAAACTCTACATATACACTCCGGATAATTTTGATAATGTGTTAGGTGGACCTGTTGACATGTTTCTCGTATCAAAATGTTGGGTGAGGCAGAGGTGGAATGTCACTCTGTTTGGTTTTTTGAAACCGCTTTTTAAACACTATGTGTAAAAAGCTGTAATTGGTTGTTTTTTGATAGAAGCCCATCAGTTATATACCAACAAGCGATCTGCAAAAATCCAAGATGTCGCTCAGGCGAAAAAGTATAGTGGAATATGTTTGGAAAAACCCCAATAGAAAGTTTTTTTTTACAATTTTACATCCACTTTACTTTTCTACTATAATATTTAATTAATTTTTTTTATTAATAATCATATCCAATATTTGTGCGTTTGTAGTAGATACTATTTTTTATTTAATAATATGTTATGCATGTATATTTATTTTATTATCGCAATACGCATTGGCACAGGTATTTTAAAAGACGTTCAATAATTCATTGTTAAAATTCGTTCTAAGTAAAAAGCACAAAGAAAACATTAATTTAGCAGCTTTTGAAAATTATAATTAACGTAATTTTGTAATTCCAGAGTCAAATAATGCAAATCAATTGAGAAATTTTTAAGATCTTCACCACTCCACATAGTGGTTTAGATCAAAAATTATCTGATTTAATCCGCACACCCGTTGTTAACTTTATTAAAATTTCGCGGCGATTCACAAATATTTTTTTTAATATTGACTAAATTTATTATCGGCATAAACGATATCCATTTACGCTCGAACTATACTAACCAAAACTAACCAACAGCAAAGAAATGGGTTTTTAACATCCTATTCTCGAATTCGGCTGATCTGGATGCGTTCCGTTCCGATAAATCGTATTTTATTCCATTTTAACTCTTTCCTACACTTATTCAAACGACACCACCACACAAAGAAAACGAACAAAATCATCTGTACTTACGACAAATTTTAATCAAACTTTTGCCGAATTATATATAAATCTAAAATAGTTTGTTATAAGACGTTAAGAAAAAAGAATATGTAAAACCGTTCTCAATTGTCTACGATCAGTATTTTCGACATCTAGCGCACAGTGGGCAAGGGCGCGTAAGAGGGACTGAATTTAGACAGCAGTCTTCGTGCAATAGGGGGCTGAGAGGACGCGGCGGGCTGTCGTACCAGATAGTGCATTTACAAACTATAGAGCATGATGTAAACGCGCTTCTGGCACGATGCTAGCCGTGTCATATAACCTTCGCGAGATACAGCAACATCGACCATCTGCTAATCCCAAATACACCGAAAGCCAGACACCTAAAATTGAACAAATCAAGCAACTAAGCCAAGGACGCCGCATGCAAAACTGATAATGTGAAAATGAGTTATTATGCAATGCCTGGGAAGGAAAATGAAAGGTGGCAAAAAAACAGAACTAAACAAAGAATATGTTAGTTAATTATTGTCAGTTTGTATATTTCTTTACAATTTTTGCAACTTTGCCCTTTTATGTATGTGTTAGTTTACCCAAATTTTCTAGTTTTTCCCAGACAAACAGTTTTTTGAGTTTTTCTACGCCAAAGTGTTTATGTGTTTACCATACACTACAACATATAATACCAGATAACACAATGTAACAAAGCAAGCAGATTTATGCAAAAATCCAGACAAAAACTCAGGTGTTGAGACTATATGAAATTAGAAGAGTTGCGACTGGTTTACGCTTTTGTTACAAATATATTATTTTCGACTAAATTTTGGTTAGTCTTGGTAAAATTTTTCCGGACTGGTTTTATTATTTTGAAACTCTGATTGTATGAAAAATTGCCTTTTCTTTGTCAAAAAATTCTGCATTAAGGTTTCCACGCTGCCAGCTAGATTCGCGTAATTTTCGTTGTAAAAGTAAAATTAGATAAACATACTAACCTTAACGGTTACGCAACAAATTACACTCAAAAATATGGCATGGACACCAAATACCTAACGATTATCATTAACTAATTTTACAGCAGGAACATTTCATTTCGCTGAGAAAAAACCTGTAACTAACATTTTACGATCAATAATATGTCGGCTGTACCCGGTAACTAAATTGCGTAATTTTTAGGTATAGTCCTCTTTTAAATTGCTGATAAAAAACCCGCGGCTGAATAAATTTTCTGACCCTGTCTTCCGGGGAGACACGCACATATTCCTTATATTGGTTCCGATGTAGGGCTGTGGTGGGTAACACAAAAGCCAAATGCAACCTAATACATGATGAAAGATTATTAATGGAAACAAAAAAACTGCACACAATTCGGCAGCACTCACTCGCACAACGAAGTGACCTATAGTGGACGACATGGCGAAACAGCTGAGAACGATTTGGAGCTGACAAGGCCTGGCTAGGCACGGCTGCCTAAAATTAAAACACCTTCCTGCTAATGGCGGTGCATTATGCAAGGGGCGGCCATGCCAAGATCGACAAAATTATGCTCAAATAAATATTTATCAACGTTGTCAAGTTTCGCATTAAAAAATGTTAATGCTTATACAGTTCCGACTCATGAGAAATGAAGATTCACCAAAAATTTCGCAAAAATTGATCGATTGAACGTTCAGATTGGTTTCAAAACATGTCGCGCTGCGCCACCCACGTTTTATTTTTACGAGAATGATTGGAACTTATGGATACCATGTCTGCCAAGATTGGATTGCTTCAACTCACATATCAGTATGAACACTATGGAATGAGCGATCGATAATTGATATTTCACAGGGTTTCGTCACTTCTTGGTTATCCCTAAACTGTCTGAACATAATATCCTAAATTTCTAAGTTCTATTTAACTTTTTCCACCCAACCCAACCCTTATATCACTATGTAGATAATAGCATATATATGGAGAACGGATCAAATTTTGAATATAGCATTCGATAAATAATTAGTGAAGGATTGCAAAACATTGGTACAATTGTCTTGTCTCTTTTTTCTTATGTTAGCATTAACACATCTTAATATATATATAAATATATATATATATATATATATATATATATATATATATATATATATATATATATATATATATATATATATATATATATATATATATATATATATATATATATATATATATATATATATATATATATATATATATATATATATATATATATATATATATATATATATATATATAAATAAGTAGTGCATCTTAATTGATTAAAACAAATACGATCTTCTTTCTAATGAGATGTTTGGATTTATTTCATAATCTTAACAAAATATTATAAATTTGCAACAACGGCAACGTTGTGTATAATTTTTAACGTCGTCGCTGTGCCAACACGATCACATGTTTCATGCATTGTTGTAGTACATAAGATGGCACTTTTATAATTAGAAAATACCTCGATCAGTATGCCATCCTAGCTAAAAAGTCGAATTTCCATTATATGATGTGATGATTGAGCGAAGCATGGAACAATTTTAATTAATAATAATTATCCTGTTCTTATACTGCATGTTTATAATTATTATTTATTGTTAAAGATCTGCTGCTGATCTTCGAAAAATCAAAGATTTTTGAGATACGATAAGTTCGTATTTCAGTGTACTCTATGAACACCCATGTTAGAAATACATTTCATTTGGAATTGAAATATGTAATAATTAGTGAATTTGGGGGAGATGTAAACAAATAACAAATATGCGAATTTCGACCAACCAAATTAATGATAAAATAATTCATATCAATAATATTACTACAATACCGCAAATACTATTAAGAAAAAACAAAAACTCTCAAAGTTTACCACCTGCATGTCGATATCGAAAGAATTATAGGTCTTTAATAGCAAGAAAGATATTTTGCAAAGAATAATAAACAAAATGGTACGAAATATTTTACGAGAACAGATTGGGAAACCACGTCGCTGAATCGATCGAAATCACATTATTAAATTATTACAAAATCTTTTAATAAAACTACCAACTATTGTACCTTTGAATAGCTAATTAAATGAAGATAAATTTTCTCAAAATACGGCATATTATTCTCGTTGTAATTACCTCGACGAAGTGCAATGACAAGAAACTGAGATACCACCAGCTGTGTTCACGGTTTTAAAGCATTCAGTAAACACAGAGTGGTCCCCAGTCCCTTGTCATTATGTCGCATGTCCCATCCGTGCAATGTCTTCTTCGTAGTGTTACAAATAACATAACAGTACTATGACCATATGAAAACGACCAAAACTACTCTAGTACTCATTAAACTGACACGCAAACGTCCAAAATAGGCTCCGGATTCAGCTATACAATTTTCCGCAACCGCAGCGTCAAATTTCATCTACTTTTTGTACAAACAAAAAATGTAAATATTTGACCGATTAATCGACATAATTTTAATGCACTAAAATTCCTTCTTAATTGCCCATATCAATCAATTGTTTCAATTCTTGGAGGTAAAAAGTTCGAACATAAGCCGAAAGCAGTAACATATATAGCGTGATGGCTAGTTTTATTTCGAAAATCGCTGTTTAGTAGGTAGAATGCGAATTATTGG